GCACCTATGTATACATTATCTCAAAAACTGGCTCATTAATCGATGTGAGGTGTTCTAAGTAAAAATTCTACGCCCCAAAAAACCCTCCCCAAACCCTAATCCTAACTTTAATATTAACTTTAACGTGCAAAAATTAGTGTTAAAAATTTTATATAAAATCTTAAAAAATTTTAAAAAAACATAATAAAAACATATGATAGGTGAAAACCACCATAGGTGCGTTTTATAATTATTCATCATTTCACCGACAGTGCTATTCACCGACATTTAATTCACTAACAAGTTCATTTCACCGACAAAGTAATTCTGGTCATTGTCGTTAGGATCAGGCTAGAATTAGAGTTAAGGTTAGTGTAATTTATAAAAAAAAACTTGTCGGTGAATCGTACTGTTGGTGAATTGATTTTCGGTGAAATGAACCGAATCCGGAAATTTTGAATTAGTAAAAACTTAGATTGTCTTGAAATTTCTAGAAGTATGCGAAATATGGTGCTTAAAAACATCTAAATTTTTTTTTTAAAAAAAAAAAAAAAATGTACGTACGTATCTATTCGATAAAAAATCACATACTAAATTTAGTCTTTTTTTTTAAAAAAAAACAAAAAACGTATCTATTCAATAAAATTCACATACTAAATTTAGTCTTTTTTTTTAAAAAAAAAAACAAAAAACGTATCTACAGTATTCAATAAAAAATCACATACTACAAAAGAAAAATTAATGGAGTACTCCAAACTATAATAAAATATATAAACTACTCCAGTTTTAAACTGGAGTTTTATTATAGTTTGAAGTACTCCATTAACTAACCCTACCCGTATAATTAGCTGATATTATCATATAAAATATTAATGAATTTGTAAGTTAAAAGCTTATTGAATGTTTGGTGAGTATGAAGAGTCATTTATAGATTTAAATATCATTAAAAATAGGGAAAAAACAATGCAATAGCATTAATCGTGGATGACTTATCTACATATGAACAGATATGAAACGTCATTTGCTGACTTAAATAAATCACAAAATCAATCAAATAATATAAAGTCGAATAACCGCGGAGATGCTTGTCGAATATTTGGTAAATATGATACAAAGAATTACAAAATAAGCTATTAAAAATAGATCAAAAAATGTAAGTAATAGTTATATCCTTGGCAGTTAGGTATAAGTGGAATTTTGCAGTGAGTATAATCGGCCGCGTAAGCGGCCGATTAAACTTTACTACAAAATTTCGCTTATATCCAACTACACAGGATATAACTGATTTATCCCCTGCCATCTATGTAACATAACTTTCATGTACTTATTTTAAAGCGAAACTTTTATTTTACGCACTGTTTTTGACATTTAATATTAAATAGGATAATACTTAATTACCTAAATTAAATAGATATTTATCTAGTAGAAATAAGTACATGAAAAAAGTTACATAGATGGGGTTGGCCAGGGGATAATAGCATTAATAATCGTGGGTTAGCCTATCTAAGGATGGGTAAACATTTGCAGATTTAAACAAGACACTGGAAATTGAATCACATAATGCAACAGCATTTAAGTAATTGTGAATTAACTTACCAAAGGACAAGCAAATATGAAAAACCATTTGCTAATTTAAATAAATAGTTAGAAATCGAACCAAATGATGTAGTGTTATCGTGCAAACACTTGTGATCATAGATTTTTTCTTCTTTTGTTATTCATTGCATTATTATATAAGTACAACAATCCCGTATTTATAACTGTAAAGTATGATTCTAAATTGCACGATAACATTGATATTGGATCATGATATTAATCGTTGCATGACCAACATCTTATAAATATTGGATAGTCAAGAATTAATTGATCAAAAGATGAGTAAATAGTAAATATGAGGAACTATCTGTAAATTTAAATAGGATTGTAAATAATGGACACGTATATAATTTAAAAAATTTTTTTTATATAAAATTTCTTTAAAATTAAAATTTAAACCCTTTTGGGTTATAAAAAAAGTGATCTAAATTTAAATATAGTAATTGTTATAAATATTATTATTTTATTATAATCTTATTTTTACTATAATTTGTAATAGTTAATATATACTTTATTATTTTATTTTTATTTTGGGTAATATTTAAAAGAGATCAGAATAATACATTTTGATAGAATTAGAAGCTAAAAGCTCTTAGCAAAGCTAGAAATACTAATAAAAAATTTTTAGCTCCTAGTAGAAGTGCAAAGCTACTATCAAAGAATTAAAGCATTGGCATAAAATTGAAAATATAAAAAGAATTAAGTTTTATTCTGAGCAAAATTAGTATTAAAAGTAGTAGTTTATTGTTTGTTTGTAAGCAAATATGTTCTGAATTTACTTTCCCTGTAACAAATATATTAGAAAAAAACTTTAGTAATAATTTTATTAATAAATTTTGGTGATTTTAGGAAAAATTTATTAGTTTCAGCTTATTCCAACCTTGAATTTTGGTTGCGCGACTTATATATTTATTGTTTAGTAACCCACTCGTACTAGGCTATCAACCAATCAGGTTACAGCAGTTACTGTATGTTTCGCATGCAATATGAATTTATAAAGTTAAAATTAAGGTCAAAAAGGTCTTTTTTTTTAATGTTAAATATTTTTTTTTTCTTAAATATTAATTATTTACAGTAGCTAGCATTTGAGATATACTAGTGTGATTAGTAAAGCCGATAAAAATATTACTAATGAATTTTGCGCACTTATTTCTCATTCATACTAGGCATCTTTTGACGCTTTTTTTGTAGACTCTAATTCTTTAATTAATTCTTGAGTAGAATGTTTTGTTGGCACAATTCTTTCGTGATCTAAAAAAACTATATAGTTTTGTAAACAGTTAAAAAGGTTTAATTGATATTTAAATTATTAAAAACAAAGGCTTTCGTAAACACATACTTCGCTTATAAAGTACAAAGCTAGATGATACAAAAACTGGAATGCTAACTATGATCAAAGTCCAACTTCTGTTTTTTTTTTTTTGGATTAAAAAAAAAAAAAATCAGTTTTATATTTTATATTTTAGATAAAGTTTTTTTTAAAAAAAACTTGTAAAAATCCAAAAGTTTGGTCATATCTACAATCTCAGTCTACGGACATACGGAGTTGGTTTCTGAGCTTTTGAATTTAATCTCGCCATTTAATTTAACAGTACCGAAACTTTTGATTAGATTATCATTTCACGTTTTATATCAATTACGATAATCTATCACGTGCCGAGTACCCGTAAATAGGTTTATATTTCTATACTGGATTAGGGTACCGTATAAATGGCTTTACTTATTTGTGCCAGTAATACAAACTCCTAAAAAGGAAATAGCCAATAAACAACATTGAAGATCCTATTA